AACCTCCACCTCCTGGGTTCAGGCAATTCTCCTGCCTCAGCCTCCTGAGTAGCTGGGATTACAGGCACGCGCCACCATGCCCAGCTAATGTTTTGTATTTTTAGTAGAGGCGGGGTTTCACCATGTTGACCAGGATGGTCTCGATCTCTTGACCACGTGATCCACCCGCCTCGGCCTCCCAAAGTGCTGGGATTACAGGCGTGAGCCACCGCGCCCGGCCTGCTATTTTCATAGTATCAGAGATTTGAAATCCAAGAAGTGGACATTCTAGGTAGCCTAGTACCATCATCGCTACACGTCCTGAGAGTTAAAGGGCACCTGCTGTTTACCATGTGCCAGGGGCCATTCTAATCACTTCACATGCATTAATTCATTTAACCTCTTGTTCCTGGGGCCCAAGAACAGAGCTGGGAGAGGGAGGGGAGGCAGGAGAGGGAGGGAGGGAAGCCTCCCTCTGGGTCTGGGTCCAGACCCCTACTGAGCTTATCACCTGAAAAGAGGTGATGGTCTTGCTAATGGGTATTATTCCATTTTTCTTTTCTTTTTTTTTTTTTTTCTATTTTGAGACGCAGTTTAACTCTTGTTGCCCAGCCTGGCATGCAATGGTGCAATCTCAGCTCACCGAAACCTCTGCCTCCTGAATTCATGCACTTCTCCCTCAGCTTCCCCATTAGCTGGGATTACAGCACACACCACCACACCCAGCTAATTATTATTATTTTTTTTTTTTTTGAGACGGTATTTTGCTTTTGCCCAGGCTGGAGAGCAATGGTGCGATCTTGGCTCACTGCAACCTCTGCCTCCCCGAGTAGCTGGGATTACAGGCATGAGTCACCACACCCGGCTAATTTTCATAATTTTAGTAGAGATGGGATTTCTCCATGTTGGTCAGGATGGTCCCGAACTCCTGACGTCGTGATCCACCCACCTTGGCCTCCCAAAGTGCTGGGATTACAGGAGATAGCCACTGTGCCCAAGCTGATATTTTGTATTTTTAGTAGAAACGGGGTTTCACCATGTTAGCCAGGCTGGTCTCAAACTCTGGATCTCAGGTGATCCATCCGCCTCAGCCTCCCAAATCGCTGAGATTACACGCATGAGCCACTGCGCCCAGCCTATCCCATTTTTCAGTTGAGGAAACTTAGGCATATAGAAGTTACATCACTAGCAATCATCACACACCCAGTGAACAGGATGTCCTGGATTCAAATCCAGACCGTCTGGCTCCGGAGTCCAGGTGGCACATGCCCCCTCATGTGCAAACTGTCCCAGACACACAAGCACGCACTGCCAGCCACAGTCCTTGCTTATTTTGTCCCCCACTGAACTTGCCACATTGAAAGTGACTTGCACACACTGAGGGTTCATGGCAAGCTGTGGAGATGCCCTCAGCCACACACCACCCAGGCTTCCTACCACAGCAGTCTGTCACAGGCCAGGTGCCCAAGGAACACCAGGGCTCTGTGGGCCCTTGCCTGACACCTCTCCCTTGGAAATTTCCCGACAATATAGCCCCTGAAGGCCACAGCTGAGGGTCAGGGGACCCTCAATCTCTTCAATGGACAGATGGACACCTGAGGCCCAGGACAGGAAGGGACCCACCAAATCCCATGGCAGCAAGCCCCTGGCTGAGCTGCCTGGACCCTCACCCTTGCATCTGGCTTCACTGTGGCTGTGGGGGCCTCCTGCCCAGCCAGCAGGTTAGTTTGTGAAGGGCCCTGACCTTTCTCTTTACCCAGCCCTAGTGCCTGGATCAGATTCCAGATCCAAGAAAAGTCTGGAGGATCTTCCCATTCCCCTTGCTTACCCCCACTCAGCTAGGGCCCAGGAACAGAGCCGGGAGAGGGAGGGAAGCCTCCCACGCCCCATATGGGTCCAGACCCCCACTGAGCTGGGAGCTGAGGCTCTCATTCTTGCTTCCTGCTTTTGCCCCAGACCTTCTTACCACCAAGTGAGTGTCTAAGTCCAGCATGACTTTCCCCGCTGCCCTCATAGATGATTCAATTCAGCGCCAAATACCACCCCCTACACACATATGTAAACCCACATGCATAGAAAAATGTGCATTGAAAATACACACATGCACATAGCCCAGGGCCCTTCTGTTCCCATCTCTTTCTGGTGTTTTGTTTGTTTGTTTTTTGAGAGGGAGGCTTGCTCTGTCACCCAGGCTGTGATGCAATCTCAGCTCACTGCAACCTCCTCCTCCCAGGTTCAAACAATTCTCCTGCCTCAGCCTCCCAAGAGTAACTAGGACTACAGGCAAGCGCCACCACACCAGGCTGATTTTTTGTATTTTTAGCCGAGACAGGGTTTCACCATGTTGGCGAGGCTGGTCTCGAACTCCTGACCTCGTGATCTGCCTGCCTCAGCCTCCCAAAGTGCTGGGATTATAGGCGTGAGCCACGGCATCCAGCCCTCTTTCTGTTGATCTTCTCAGGAGCTCCCTTTCTTCCCATCTCTCCTTAGGAGAATCCCACTGGAGCACCACATAACCAGGGAGAGTGAGAATGGGTTCTTTTCTTTTTTTCCTCTTTTTGGACACGTTTCTGTTCTTGCAAGTTCTTATCTCTGTTCTTGCGGGTTCTTCTCATACTTACTGTGCCACCGTGGTCAAGCCTTGCAGCTGCTCAGAGCCACAGTCGCCTCACAGTGAGATGGGCATAATAAGAGACCTTCCTCCTAGAGATGTAGACAGTGAAATTAGGTAATTCGTTTAGGTGTTTAGCACTGTGTTTGGCACGCAGTGGCTACTCAGTGAGAGCTTTAATAAAGTTGAGTGAAATGCTTTGAGAATTTGGCAGGACTGTGTACAAAGTGAGTCTCCCAACTCCTGCCACCCGAGTTATGTAAGGCAGGAATTTGTAGTAATTTCCCAGTGAGAAAATTGAGGCCCAGAGTCTGAATGGTAAAACTGGAATGAAGATTCTAGTCCCTGGATCCCAAAGCCACTCCACACTGCTGGCAAATCCACTGATGGCTGCGACTGTGCATGATAAATGAGCGTCTGAGTGAGCACCAGTTAGGGAGGGTGACACTATCTGGTCTGAAGCTCTGCAAGAGTAGGAATTATATCCCTAGCATCGTCCAATAAGGGCGATCAGAAATGTTGGCCAGGCATGGTGGCTCACACCTGTAATCCCAGCACTTTGGGAGGCCAAGGCGGGCGGATCACCTGACGTTGGGAGTTCAAGACCAACCTGATCAACATGGAGAAACCTTGTCCCTACTTAAAAAAAAAATACAAAATTAGTCAGGCATGGTGGCAGGCGCCTATAATCCTAGCTACCCCGGAGGCTGAGGCAGGAGAATCACTTGAACTCAGGAGGTAGAGGTTGTGGTGAGCCAAGATCATGCCCTTGCACTCCAGCCTGGGCAACAAGAACAAGACTGTCACAAAAAAGAAAAGAAAAGAAATGTCCAGTGGCCCAACCAAAGCCCATGTCCTCTCTTTTCAGGTGATGACTTTCCTCTGAGGAAGCCTTGTAGCCTGCCTGGAGGAAGGGGCTCCCCAACCCCAGCCCCACCTAGCCACCATGAACACCTCAGCCCCACCTGCTGTCAGCCCCAACATCACCGTCCTGGCACCAGGAAAGGGTCCCTGGCAAGTGGCCTTCATTGGGATCACCACGGGCCTCCTGTCACTGGCCACGGTGACAGGCAACCTGCTGGTACTCATCTCCTTCAAGGTCAACACGGAGCTCAAGACAGTCAATAACTACTTCCTGCTGAGCCTGGCCTGCGCTGACCTCATCATTGGTACCTTCTCCATGAACCTCTACACCACATACCTGCTCATGGGCCACTGGGCTCTGGGCACGCTAGCCTGTGACCTCTGGCTGGCCCTGGACTATGTGGCCAGCAACGCCTCCGTGATGAATCTGCTGCTCATCAGCTTTGACCGCTACTTCTCCGTGACTCGGCCCCTGAGCTACCGCGCCAAGCGCACACCCCGCAGGGCAGCTCTGATGATCGGCCTGGCCTGGCTGGTTTCCTTTGTCCTCTGGGCCCCAGCAATCCTCTTCTGGCAGTACCTGGTCGGGGAGCGGACAGTGACAGCGGGGCAGTGCTACATCCAGTTCCTCTCCCAGCCCATCATCACCTTTGGCACAGCCATGGCCGCCTTCTACCTCCCGGTCACAGTCATGTGCACGCTCTACTGGCGCATCTACCGGGAGACAGAGAACCGAGCACGGGAGCTGGCAGCCCTTCAGGGCTCTGAGACGCCAGGCAAAGGGGGTGGCAGCAGCAGCAGCTCAGAGAGGTCTCAGCCAGGAGCCGAGGGCTCCCCAGAGACTCCTCCAGGCCGCTGCTGTCGCTGCTGCAGGGCCCCCAGGCTGCTGCAGGCCTACAGCTGGAAGGAAGAAGAGGAAGAGGATGAAGGCTCCATGGAGTCCCTCACATCCTCAGAGGGAGAGGAGCCTGGCTCCGAAGTGGTGATCAAGATGCCCATGGTGGACCCCGAGGCGCAGGCCCCCACCAAGCAGCCCCCACGGAGCTCCCCAAATACAGTCAAGAGGCCGACCAAGAAAGGGCGTGATCGAGCCGGCAAGGGCCAGAAGCCCCGAGGGAAGGAGCAGCTGGCCAAGCGGAAGACCTTCTCGCTGGTCAAGGAGAAGAAGGCGGCTCGGACCCTGAGTGCCATCCTCCTGGCCTTCATCCTCACCTGGACACCGTACAACATCATGGTGCTGGTGTCCACCTTCTGCAAGGACTGTGTTCCTGAGACCCTGTGGGAGCTGGGCTACTGGCTGTGCTACGTCAACAGCACCGTCAACCCCATGTGCTACGCACTCTGCAACAAAGCCTTCCGGGACACCTTTCGCCTGCTGCTGCTTTGCCGCTGGGACAAGAGACGCTGGCGCAAGATCCCCAAGCGCCCTGGCTCCGTGCACCGCACCCCCTCCCGCCAATGCTGATGATCCCTGTCCTGCATCCCTCCATCCCAGTCCCCGGGAGAGGCTGGAGGGAAGCGGGCAGGGGCTGCATCCTCAGCCCCAGAGCCCCGCTCAGGCCTCACCTGGCCTCCCAAGCCCCTGGGTCACCTTCCTGGGCAGCCCAGAGAGCCCCTGCCAACTTTCCAGACTTTGCTATTCCCAGGCAGGGAGGGAAACCTGGGGAACTGGTTTTTCTGTTCCCTGCTGGGTAGGAATGGGCTCTTCACCAGGAAGAAGGCCCGGGAGGAGGATCCGGGCTTTGGACTCCTTGTTTGCCTTTAGGCAGGAAGTCAGGAGCCAGCAGGGCGGGCCAGGAGAAAGAGGGCTTAACCTTACAGTATTCCTTGGCCCAGGGGCGGCTCACATTGCAGTGTGAGATGGCGCCCCCTGGGGGACACAGCTGGGAACTGACCCGACCGCTGGGAGAAAAGCTTGACAACACGGGACTGGGGAGCCCGGATGGGGGATCCGCTCGCTTCATAGGCAGAGCCCGCCCAGCTGGGCCCTAGGCATACGCTCCAGGATTGTCCAGGCCCCCTACAGATGTCCCCAGAGGGTCCCTAGGTGGGTCACCTCCAAGGCAAATATCCAAGCATCAGCAGGACAATGACACTGGAGGACCAGCCTGGCTAGTCACACATCAAGTCCCAAGGCAGCAGGACCAGGAGCCAGGTGTCCTGACTGTCCTACGATATCATTTCCCTGGGAATGGGAGTCAAGTGTGCCTGCTGTCCATACCCCCTGCCCTAGAGAAGCCTCAGTCCCTCCCTCCTGGTTCACAGCCGCCACCTGGACAGACCTGCTCCCTGCAGACCTAGCCAGGCCTCCCGCATGCTGCCTGCTCCGGCCCTGCCCCACACAGGCCTGGCCCAGCCAGCAGGTTCTCTCCAGTGAGCTCCCCAATCCAACCCATGCATGGCCTCCCAGCCACTCGGATCTCCAGGCCTAGCCTGGCCCCAAATGTTCTTTCCTTTCATCCTCAGCAAGTGCTGAGTCTGTGAATAAAACCACATAACCAGCGGGCACTAAGGGGCCTTCCTCCCTGTGTTGGCTCAAGGCCTTGGTCTCAGGCCAGGGCTGGATGGGGCAGGGAGGGCCTAAGTACTTTGGAATGTGGGCCTTGGCCCTGAAAGTGGTTCCAGGAGGGACAGCACTGCATGGTTGGATCTACCAAAGCATGGGGACCCCAGCACCATGGAGTCCCTGGCTCAGGAGAGTGGGGCTATAAAAGGCAGACCTGCCTCTGGAAGTGAGGCAGCCGAGGGAAATCAACCACCCCTGCCTACACCCCTGCATATTCGCTGTTGGCCCTGCCATACCCAGGGAGAACAGAACTCTTCCAAACCCTCACTCACGCATGAGGAGATAAGGCCCAGAGATCCAGGAGGATTGTTCAGGGTTACCCCACAAAGCAACACCCAGACTTCCAGGCAATTCATAGCCTCCTGACCTCTGGATTGTGCAGATGAGAGGCCTAAAGCATTTAGGCCAAAACACTCCATCAGGATGACCCAGGTCAGGTTATAAATCACTTCATTGGTGAAGGGTCCCCAAAGCCTCACGCAAAGGAATTCTAGAGAGGTTAATCCCGTAGCCTAGAATAGTAGTTTCCAAGACCGTCACTGGATTCAGTGATTTGCTAGAATGATGCACAGAACTCAGCAAAGCTACTATCCTCACAGTTTATTACAGGGAAAGAATACAGAGTATAAAACAGCCACAGCAAAAGGTGCCTTGAGCAGAGTCCAGGAGAGGCCAGATGCACACTTGCAGCTGTCCTCTCCCAGTGGAGTTATGCAGACAGCACCCATCTTCCAAGCAATGATGTCTGACAACATAAATGAAGTTCTGCCAAGGCCAACTAAGACAGCTCACCAGAGCTTCGGTGTCCAGTGTTCCTACTGGAAGTTGGTCACGTAAGCATGGCTGACTACCCACGTGGCTGGAGACTTACTTAGTCTCCAGCTCTTCCAGAGGTCAGACTGATACCATGAGGCCCAAGGCCTCCCCCATAAATCCCCCTGTTGGCATAGACTCTCTGGTGTGGCCCAAGGCCCAAAGGTAAGTAAAACACTCTTACCAGGCAGGCTATTCCAAGGGTTTAGTGTTATCTTGCAGGAGCCAGGCAAGGCCGAACCTTTCTTTGAAATGTGCAAATGTGCAGGGTTCAGATAATACAGACCTGCTGAGTGAATCTTTCAGTTCACAGTGTTCTGACAGGAGCATCAGTATCACCTGGGAACTTGTTACATGTGAGAATTATCAGGGTCATCCTTGATTTCCTAAATCAGAAACTCTGTGGAACTCACCACCTATTTATTTATTTATTATTTATTTTTTGAGACGGAGTTTCACTCTTGTTGCCCAGGCTGGAGTGCAATGGCACAATCTCAGCTTACCACAACCTCCACCTCCTGGGTTCAAGCGATTCTCCTGCCTCAGCCTCTTGAGTAGCTGGGATTACAGGCACGCACCACCACGCCCAGCTACTTTTGTGTTTTTAGTAGAAATGGGGTTTCTCCATGTTTTTCAGGCTGGTCTCAAACTCCTGACCTCAGGAGATCTGCCCACCTTGGCCTCCCAAAGTGCTGGGATTACAGGCGTAAGCCACCATGCCCGGCTGCCACATTTTCTTTTGAGACAGAGTTTTGATCTTGTTGCCCAAAGCAACAAGAGTGCAATAGCGAGATCTCGGCTCACGGCAACCTCTGCCTCCTGGATTCAAGTGATTCTCCTGCCTCAGCCTCCTGAGTAGCTGGGATTACAGGCATGCGCCACCACCATGCCCAGCTAATTTTGTATTTTTAGTAGAGATGAGGTTTCTCCATGTTGGTCAGGCTGGTCTCAAACTCCCGATCTCATGTCATCCACCTGCCTCAGCCTCCCAAAGTTCAGGGATTACGGGCGTGTACCACTGCACCCAGTCACTTGCCACCGTTTTTTTTTGTTTGTTTGTTTGTTTTGTTTTGTTTTGTTTTATTTTGTTTTTGAGACGGAGTTTCGCTCTTTTTACCCAGGCTGGAGTGCAATGGCGCGATCTCGGCTCACCGCAACCTCCACCTCCTGGGTTCAGGCAATTCTCCTGCCTCAGCCTCCCGAATAGCCGGGATTACAGGCACACGCCACCATGCCCAGCTAATTTTTTGTATTTTTAGTAGAGACAGGGTTTCACCATGTTGACCAGGATGGTCTCGATCTCTTGATCTCGTGTGATCCACCCACCTCGGCCTCCCAAAATGCTGGGATTACAGGCATGAGCCACCTCGCCCGGCCCTCGCCACCAGTTTTTAACAAGCCCTCCAGGTGTTCCAATGCAGGCTAAAGTTTGGGAATCGTTACCCTAGAGGGATGAGGTCCTAGGTGGACCTAAACCCTTGCAGAGGGGGAAGTGGAGATTCAGCCCACTTGCAGCTGATCAGACTCCCAGAAGCCTTTGGAAGAAAGCTTCCAACACGATGAAAACTGGTATCCATTGAAGATGTAAACAGGACAGGCTAGCCAGGAGCTACAGCACTGTGAGAATGACTCTAGGATACAAATCCCATATTCCCTTCCCACCAGCACAGCTTACTGGGTTGTCAGCTCGAGACCCTAGAGGGCCTCTCCCTTACCACTGCTCCCTCACAGCCCTAAGGCCCTTTTAAGGTTACGTGCCCTGGCCAGTATTGAAGGCGTTGAAACTGAGGTCCTGGGAGGCAGAGGGACTGGGAAAGCTGAGCAGTGCTGGAAGAATAGGAACCCTGGGGTCAGATTAACCTGAAGGCCGGAGGCGGAGGGGGTCAAATCTGGTATTCACATCAGAAATGGGGCTAGCAGTTCACACCTGTCCCTTGTCCCAGGTGCAGGTGTGACCTGCCATGTAGCTCACTGAACAACCTTAGGCATGTCTCAGTGTCTTCATCTCTGGAAGGGGAACAAGCCCTTTACAGAAGAGTTATGAGTATGAGACAGTGTAGGGAGATCCCCTCAATGGCTCTACGGCCAGTGTTTCCACGGGATAGGGCTGCTCACCGGTAAATTCCAGAAACCAGGATTAGTTTCAGACCCAGCTCTGACCCTACGCCTCCCCCAACCCAGGGAGAAGAAACTTAAACCCTATCATGGCTTGGTTAAAGGAGTTTGGGGGAACAAATCTTGGCGGGAGAGGGTGTGCATTCCAGGAAGGCTTCCCAGAGATGCAGTCTGTGCCCTCAGGCCTCTGAAGCAAGAGTCCTGCAGATCCAGCTGCCAGAGAATCAGGGAAATGGGATAACCCCAAAGAGAGAGGGTGGCTGGACATGGCAACTGTCCCCCCAACACACTGCACCGCTCCCCCATTCTGAGGGAGTCCTTCGCCCCAGAAACAAGGGCTACTACTGCCTGAGCTGGAAATAGGCAAAGAATGAGGTGGCTTTGTAATGCTATCTTCTCTCCTGCTGCTACCAACCCTTTCTCCAGCCTGGAGAGGTCAGGATCCTCTCCTCCTGCGCCACCTGCCACTCCCACCGTGTTGCTTTAGCGCCATCTTCTGGCAATCACAGGAATAGCTCTGCCAAAAAAGAAAAAAAGCTGCTCTTGGAACCTGCCTGGGCCTGCTTCTCAGATGACAAGACCACAGGACATAACGGAGTAGGTGGTTTTGGCCACGCCAGTCCCTGCCTCCAAGTCTTGGCAGGTACATCAGACCCCAGAAGGATCAGCTTCCTTGGATACTACTATAAACTTGCAGAGACAGGCCCTACCTCTCTGGCCAGCATACCAAATTCACCAACAAGAGCATAGAAGGTAGGAGGCTTGGCATCTAGGAACAGCTCCATCTTCTCCTAATCCTCCATGGCCCCAGGCCTTAGGAATCCTTGGTTTCATTCTTAGGACACTGGCTAGGATTTCACAGGACTCATGCTGACCCAACTGGAAATTTAGACAGGTACATGCTCACCTTTAGAGCACAAAACCCTTTTTTTTGTTTGTTTGTTTTTGTTTTTTGTTTTTGAGATGGAGTATTGCTCTTATTACCCAGGCTGGAGTGCAATGGCGCGATCTCGGCTCACCGCAACCTCCGCCTCCTGGGTTCAGGCAACTCTCCTGCCTCAGCCTCCCGAGTAGCTGGGACTACAGGTGCGCGCCACTATGCCCAGCTAATTTTTTTGTATTTTTAGTAGAGACAGGGTTTCACCATGTTGACCAGGATGGTCTTGATCTCTTGACCTCATGATCCACCCGCCTCAGCCTCCCAAAGTGCTGGGATTATAGGCGTGAGCCACCGCGCCCGACCAGAGCACAAAAGTCTTTTGAATGCCCAAGTGACCCACACCAGCCTCAGGCTCTAAGGGGCTTGAGGTTATTGCTTCCAACATCGCTATTGTTGCATCTTTAGTCACACACACACATTGTATAACCCCACAAATCAGACTATCACACAAAATGGGCCTGAAAACAGTTCTCCCCCTTCACTGACAGCCCCTGTCCTTCCCCTGCCCCTGAGTTGCACTTTCTCTCTTGATATTCCTGCCCTGGCTAGCACCACCATTCACACAGTTGCTCAAACCAGCAAGCTGGGAGGCATCCCAGACTCCTTCTCCCTTTTACTCCCTGTACTCAGCCTGTCTCCGAGTAGTTCCCAAATTTCATCCAGTAGTTTTCTGCAGCCCCACTGCCTCTAAAGTAGCACAGGCTTCTTGCCTGAAATGCTAAAACATTCCCTTAATTCACGGATTAGCAAAGTTTTTCTCTAAAGGGCCAGACAGCAAATATTTTTAGTTTTAGACTCTGCAGAACAGGAGACAAAATCATGAATATTATGCAGGTATTCCAATATTACACAGTCTCTGTCACACTATTCAACTCTGTTGTTGCAGTCAAAAGCAGCCATAGACAATATAAACGTAAACGAGCATGGCTCTGTTCCAAAAATATTTTCTTTGAATATCACTGATTTGAATTTCATAAAATTTTTCTTGTGTCACAAATACTATCTTTGTTTTTTTTTCAGCCTTTTAAAAATCCAAAATCTGCCAGGCACGGTGGCTCATGCCTGTAATCCCAGC